TAAAGCACTGCATGAAAAAGCACAAGTGTAAGGGGTGGTGAAGGAGCAGTGGATAAGACACATGCCTTTGATGTGAGAGACCCGGGTTCAAATCCACTGTGAGACACCAATGTGTCCCAACATGTGTCGTGCGACCTCTGACATATATAGCAATTGTAAGTCGCTTTGGATAAAAGCATCAGCTAAATGAATAAATGTAGTGTAATGTATATATCCCCTTCTTTAGATCCTTTGACCAAAATTGCCAGTCCATTCTAAACTCCAAAATCCAAGGGTGATTGAGCATTTCCACTTGTGAAGGATTAAGTCTTTTGTGCTCACACTTTTGAGTGTAAACTACACTTTCTGTATTTTTTTATTTTTATTTTACGTAAAATAAATGTCTTCACATTAAATGTCTTCAGCTGACTAATATTTAATTGCAGGCCTTGCAATGGAAACTGATTTTTCAATGCCTCTCTGTAGAAAAAGTTACCAGTATGTTACATACATACTGTGTAGAGGGAGGTATCTTTGCTTAGATTAGCTGGCATTTCATCATTACTGTCACCATCTCAGTCCACATGACAAACTGAGGCTATATTCTTCGGTCCTTTAACCCCTATACCTTTGTTAGTGAAGATCTAAATAAAAGGGTAATAGTGCTAGCACATCCAGTATAGTAAGTAGATACTATCTGTCCTACAGTGGCTGTTGTATCTGTCAAACATCTATGCTACCTCGAGCATCGATAACATGTTACGTATAGCCATATACAGTATTTTTCTATCCTATCATTTGGCTGTGTTAGCTCATGTACCAGCTACTTCAAACATGACAAATATATGCCAGTAAAACATTGTAAAAATCTCATACCTATTAACTCTGTCACCACAAAATCTTAAAATTAATTAAATGCTAATCATACAGAAGATTATGTATACTAACGAGTACAGCTGTGCAATGCTGGCAACACAGACACAGTGGTGACAGTTAAGCTTTTTGGCAACAACAATCCACCATGCCATCACATCACCCCACATGGTAGACTACTCCAAATTGCCAAAACACTTTGGCCTGGATCAGTGAGGGTGTCAGGTGGTGAACTGTCTTGTTTTTTCCCCTGGAAAATAAATAGCACTACTGAATTACAGGCAACAGTGGGCAGATGCGGAGGATTGTACAGCAGGACATCTTTCCAACTAATAACGAGAGTGAAACTTGTGGTAGAAATAAAACAGTTGTCTCATTTGTTTCTAGACTGTCCCAGTTTTATTCCTGCTTGAACAAAGGCTTGTAATACTGCATACTAAGATGAGACAAAAGGATGTGATATGAGACACTTTTGAAAGAAATCAAACATACACCCCAACAAGAACACATGGTTGTTGCTAAATAATCTCTCATTAAATTATGTGGATTATGAAATTTATCATGACAAACCTTACACCAAATATGTGCACACATACACACAAAGTGCAAAGAATCTGAGGACGTTTCAATAATCTGTATCCAAATGAAGGATACTGAGAGCAGCTAAAATACAGGCCATGGGGCCAATATGAAGTAATGATATCTAATTAAATGGGACAGAGCATGTTCCCATGCTGCGTTGGCATGGATGAATTGTGGTGTAATGCAGCACATGTCGCGTGATTCAGCAAAATTCCAAGCATGAGGTAATACATGCTATGCTGTTTCTGTCTTTCAGTCAGTGTTTGATTAAATCTATGATGAACTGCATGTGTCTTGGCATCCTCAGAGCAGTGGTCAGTGCTGGTAACATGCCACGCCTCATTGGACATTAAGCTCAAATACATCTGTATATGAAATGCCATCATTGCACATGCCAAGCCTAAACACATCAGGTATCAACAGCAAGAGAGAAATGGATAGAGAGGGAGAGTGAGACAGAGAGAGGGAAAAGGGAAAAGGGAAAAGGGAAAAAGAGATGGGGGGGGGGGGGCACAAAGGATTAGAAATGCAAGAAAATAAAGAATGAAGGTGCTTTGTGTGGAGGTGTGATAATCACTAGGCAGCAGATATGAAATTGACTAGCCGCTAAAATGAAATTCCATCAGTTAGATCCATGGTTGGCTTTACAACCAGCATTTCGAGTTTGAATGGAGCTTAAGGAGACCGGCACACTGATTGGCTAATTGTCCAATAGCCCATTTTTCTATGGGAAGCGCTGTGATCATCTGAGTGCACAGACTGGACTGAATCCATCCCACTCCCTGTCTCTTCTCCTGTATGGCCACCACCCCAGTACAAACGCGAAAAGTCCCACACAGAAGCTGCATGGTTGATCTGTCTCTTCTGAATATTTGGAGTTGCTCGGAGGTGCCTTTATTTTAACCTGAGGTATCCTCATCGTTTGGATTATTAGATGGAGAAGCCACAAATCATCTGGGTCTTAATGATAACCTCCAGACAGTAGACCATAACAAGAGGAAGCGTCTTCACATTACATGGCACTTCTCCCGCTGCGCAACAGGTCTTGCCCTTTGTTCTGAGGAGGTACAATGAAACTAAAGCCAGATTTTAGGTTGCAGGAGTTGCACATCCTACAAAGTAAAACATCAAACTTAGCAAATCCGTATAATATTTTGAGTGTTAAAACTAATAGCCTATTTATTCACTTCTCAGAGATTCAATGCGCGCGGATGAAAAAAAACAAAACAAAAAAAGAGAGACATACTCCTCAGCCATTACACTGGGGTAACGTAAATGGACACTTACCTGGAATAGCCAGGTTAGTAAGCGGGATAGTGTGCATACTCTGCGGTAAACTTGCCATCCAGTCCGCAAACCGCATGTCGCTTCTCCCGTGAGACGAAGCCATGCTGTCGCCGTGCACAACGCTCCGTTCTCCCGGACCGGTGCCTGCGCAAACCTGGAGTCGCGCTCTCTCTCTTTCTCTCCACACACAGAGGCACACACCCACTCTGTCTCTCTCTCTCTCTCTCACACACACACACACACACCAGCGCCACCGAAAGCCAGTCCACACCCCCCGTAGGCTTACACGTCGGTGGCTGGCATTATGAAAATGCGGTTTGTTGAATGGACCGATCCAAATATATGGCAACATTCGGTGGTTAGCTTTGCAATAATGCACAGTAAAAGCGCTGCTAGGACATGGATCAGTTTTACAATCACATAACATGGACAAATTAATATAGCCTTTACAATTCTAGCTTTCAGAATTTCTCAAAACGAGGCAAAACTACCCCAAAATTCTTTTATGTAATAGAGGTTTATAACATAGAGGTCAGAACACCCACCAGTGGCTGCTTGCTATACGCATATTTTGGAACAATGCTAGATAGGTCTACCAAGGTAATTTCATAGTAGGAAGTTGTGCACTTCGAAGCCTATACATGGATATTTTGAGAATTTCAAACACTAAAAAACAGATTTAAAAAACCCTTTGAATATGATCATAGCCTGCAAAATATTCAGCCAAAAATGCACATATATGCTCAAAATAACAGAGGTTTGGTAGTGGCCTGTTAGAGATGTGCATTTTCTCATTACACACGGCTGAAAAGAATGTTACCTATAAATAAGGAGGTTGAACGCTAACTCCCAAAGGACACAGGAGCATTTCTGAGGACATGTACTTGGATGACTGAGAGCCATATGGAGGTGATTCATTATCACTGCAATTAATCAGTTAATATTGCAGTGACAATGAATAAGTGACATATTGACTGTGGTAATAATTAGCAGGATGGCCTCCTTAAAATGAGTAATTTAATAAACTAGGTCATAATTGTGAATATACAAAAAACTGCATATTTATCAAGGTGTGAACCACAATGTCATCAGTGATCACCCTTGTTCCTGGTTGGATGCTACATCAATAAATGATCAGCATTGTGAAAATAATCAAAAGGAACAATAACCATACTCAGGCCTACATGTATGGTTAAAAGCTCAAAGCAAAATTGCATCCACAGTTGTACCCCAGTCCTGCTTGCATCACACTAAAACATACGAAAACTGTTCATTAGTAGTTATGTAAAAAAGGTAAAGTAAACAGGAATCAAACTTTCAGAAATCACAAGGCTACAAGATGGGCTACTGTTAAAACATGCCGGAGCAACATGGCAATGTCTGTGTAAGAGGACCCGTGCTGTATGTAGATAGAAATGGCTCATTCTAAGATAATAAAAACATAACAGTTTATTATGTTAAGATCTTTATACACCACAGAAAACCTAGTTATGTATATTATTTTGTATTTCTGTCAATAGATCCTCTTAAATATTACACACTGGACCTTTAAGTTTGGTAAAGCTCTCACATAAGTTAAAGGAGTTTACAAACAATATTCCAGGTAGCTTGCCACCACGGCAGCCACCATGTGCAATAAATATACTTCTATTCTGCACATGTTGTCCTCAGTATGCACTATACCTATTCAAGGCAAAGTGCAGTTACTTGTTTTAATGTTGTCATTTCTAATGAGTTATAGCACTGCTTATGTTTGAACCTATTTGTTTGTGTAAAAGCCTAACACTTCTCAAATTCCTTTTTCATTGCATTTCTGTAATAGTATGAGAAATAGGTTAAAAATGTAGGCTTATAGGGTAACACTCTAGTTTGAGTCATGAAGGGATGTGCTGGATTAACATCAACAGCCGGTGGCAACAGCCCGTCACTTTCTTCCATTTTTCTGCTTGATGATCCAATCCAGTTGATCTTCTTGAACCCAAAAGCCCACTGGCTGAATTCTCCAGTTATGTAACAGCCCTCAGGTAATAGCAGCGCCTCTCTACACGAGTGGAGAAATCACATCAAGAATGTCAATGCAAGTGCACCATCCATATATAGAAAAGTCTAACCTGTAGTGTCAGAAGCCATCACTCTCAAATCAGTCATTTGCTTTTAATCATTGTGTGTTTTGAAGAGCGGAATAATTTGAATGAACGCAGAAGCCAGCAACAATTGGTATTTAAGTTATATCCAGAAATCATAAGATATAGAGAAAAGAAATAATATACTGGCACTCGTTCCCCTCAGCAAGCAACATTGTATTTTATTTTATATACAAAGGCAAGCGGACCACAAATGTCTGAGTAAAAAATGTTAATGCTTCACGTTTTTTGGCTGAAATGTTTGGTATTCCCACCAACTCTGACATATATGATGCTGAGAGAAAAAAAAGGCAGAGGTAATCATTAACAACACGTTACAGTCAGACCCTTATTTTTACTTCTACATTTTCCAAATGGAGAAAAACATCTATAATCCAAGGGCATTTGTTACTTGAAAAATACTGTGCTGAACAACAAATCACTTGACCTACAGCACACATTTGTTCTCTAAATTCATTACATTTCAGCTCTCTATATCCTGTTACAGTTACTTATTGATCAACAGTAAATATGATCCACGTTCAAGTTATGCACAAACATTAGTAAAAATGAATAACTTAATGGTGCAAAAGGCAACAATGTAATGTTCCCCAATCATTTGTCCAATCAGATCAGATGTTGACTCCAATTAACCCCATTCAGTTAATATTAGTGAGGACCAAATCCTTCTGATATTTGCATGCTGATTACCAGGGAACTGAACCAATCATTTGTTTTGTAAGCTTATCTGACCAGTCGAAGGCTGCTAAATCACCAGCTGTTTACCACAGAGAAATGAAAGAGAGGTTGTCACAAACCCCCCCAAAAAAACATACAAACAAAAACATTTCTCAGATTCATTGTAAGCTTCTCTAGATTTGCTGCATGGGCTTCAGGTTGGGAGATACCTAGAAGACACACGACAGATCACAAGGAAGAAAGAGAGGTCTCATGGCTATGATACTTGAAGTTAGAAAATGAAATATCGTGCTGGTAGCCAAACTGTTATGTTACTTACATCAAAATCTGTGCCAGTGCATGCCTTGATATCCTCAGGAGTGAGCCCATCCCACACTTCTATCAGAGTCAGGCCTTTCGTCTTATCTACATCAAACACAGCCTGGTGAACAGAAACAGGGCAAAAAGAGAGGGAGGGAGGGAAAGAAAAAAAGGGATGAGATGTTTAGAAAAAGACAGATGGTATGGATGAGGTGACATAGACAAAATGGTGACAATGAGTCTCTCCTTAATAGATGGGCTTGAACCCTATGATGTGCAGTCACTGGGGTCACAGACAAGGACGTGGGGGCCTCAATTTTCAAAGTGACCCCCCCCCCCACACACACATACACACTTCAGTGTCACCCACAGATGACACAATAGCTGCAATTATTGGTGACACATCCATGAAAGGCCTCAGAGAGTGGTCCTCAACTCTCTGGACCACTACAAAGTAGTGAGCAATTACGTTATAATCGTTGCACTACTTTTAACAGTTTAACAATTTAATTAACAATAATGAAGTTGAAATGTAAAATGTTGGGTAGAGGGTGAAGTATCTTTTCAGATAGCACAGCTGACAGTCATCTATCAATTATGCTGACATGGTTCAAATTAGCATTGTGAGTTTCTGTGGTTAATTTGGCATTTGTATACTTGTGATCATACTTCCACAACACTACATTGTGAGAAGTTGTTCTGAATTCAAATGTAAAAAACTTTATAAATGAGGCCCCCAGAGTTTTCATCATTAATAATGAAATGCTATATATGGCTGAAGGCACTGGTGCTGTAGCAGAGACCGGAAGGTGGAGGCTTTCTGTAAATTGCCAAGAAGAATATTGCCAAACCTGTCATTTACACTGAAGGTCCATAGTCCCACAAATGCTGGAAATGTATCTAAAGAAATGTTCCGTCTTCTGAAAAGTAGCAAATCAATCTCATACACTAATGCATGTAGAGTACCTTCAGGCAACCCTATTATTACCTCTTAAAGCCGCAACATCAGGGTGACATAGTTTGGGACAAGATGACGACACTTTGGACAGAACAAACGCGTTTTGGTTTTGGCTTAGCTTATCTTTTTGCATGGATCCCCGCACATTTAGAGAATAATTATCCCAAACCCTGTAATTTTCTGTGGCAATCTTGTCGTTTCTTACATTGGTTGCCTAAGGATTTGGATATATTTTAAGCGTAAACATGTTGGAAACTGTCTTTTGGAGGATTGTTTTAGAGTTTGTATCAGAGTTTCCACAATCCAGATAGCAGTAGAAATTTTGTAAGTAGTTTTTTTTTTTTACTAAAAGCAATAAAGAAGTGCCAGTTTGGCAGTTCACTAAGTGTGGTAAGGTTGACTAAGTCTAAACAAGTAAACTGCTTTCAGTTACACTGTGATTCTCAGGTACCTACTGCAAGTTATTCTCTTTCTTTATCAATAAATTGGATAACTGCCTAGCTTGATATTGCCACGAATATCTGTGAAAGTTGGTTTTTCAAATTGAATCTGAAGATATTATCAGTTAACAGACTTGACACTTGACAAGTCTGACATAACAAGTTAGGTATGTGTACATTCAGTACAGATTATACAATAGCCGTTTAAAACTGAATCTGGAGTGATATATTTATTCCTTTATGCACACAATGCAAAAAATATTTTATGAAGAAAGGCCAGGCACACTGAGGTGAGCATCCTGTTGCTTCTCTCAGCAGGGACTTGCATGCTAAGCCACAGTCACATCCAGGCAAAGCCCGTCAGGACTCTCAGCTCATTAGGACCACGCACACAGTGACAGGGCAGGAGGCAGATATCTCACTCCAATATAGCAAGACAGAATGTCACAAGGAACAAGGGTCTATGGATAACACAGACACTGACATGCATCTGTAATCATGACACATGTCGCAAGTAATGAAGGACAATGAAAGATTTGTCAAAATGTGCCATTTGTAGGTGATATAGGTGCGACAACATTGCGCAAGGGCAATGTAACGTCAATGTGAGCTCACAGTTTGACATACTCTGCTTTAAAATGCACAAGGCCGAGGCACAAAATGGTCTGGGTAAAAAAAATAAAGAAATTTGCTATTTAGTAAGGTAGTTTCTGATATCCACACTTTGTACTGAAAAGCAATCTGAGCCTCCATTTGCAAGCAGCCTTTTTGTTGTGAAACTGTTGAGTCACCTTTCTTCACAGTCAAAGTCACCACCATCATTAACCAGATTGATGCAAGTTAGTCATTAAGAAGCTGCTGTCTACCTCATGTGTTGTCTAACGAGAAGTAGGCTGAATGTCATGTAACAACAATAAGCCATCATCACTCAGACCACTTAATGCTCCAGACAAATGTGAATATAATAAAAAGATGGGAGTAAATAATACACTTTTTACCCTCCAACAAAATAACATCAAAGCTTAAGAAGCAAGAAGCATATTTTGAGGTGTGTTCAAACAAAAACTCACAACAGGTCTAGTGCTGTACTTAGGGATGCACCGGAATGAAAATTCTTGGCAGAAGCTGAAACCGAATATAATGATACAACCGAATACCGATACCGAATACTGAACAAGGTTTTTCTCATTTTAAAGTAAATGACATGTGTCCATTTACTTTTAATGGACACATGTAATATGTTTTATACTTTCTGTGAATATAATCCAATTAATCTTATTTCCATACTGTATAGACATCTTATTTTGAAAACCGGACGTTGTCACATGTGTATCCTTGCGCTACATTCATCAATTGCGACCCAATTGGATAAATAATGTTGTATGTGGTTCTCGTATCGTGAGACATGAAGGCTTCATAGCCTCTCTTCAGGTAGGACTCTTGAATGTTGCCTTTTCTAAGAAGTCAGCCACAGATGAAGTGGATGTGCTAGGAGACAATTCAGCAGAACAGTGTCTGCAAACAGCAATTTTTGCGTCTTTCTCTGACACTTTAAAATGCTTCCACCCTGCAATTGAAGATTAAGCTACACTAATATTATTAGTATTATGCTATTTGTAGAATTAGATTCAAGTGGTGGTGCCTATGTAGGATTGTCCAAAAGTCCATTTGCTGACATTTAGCCTTTCAAAAACAATATTTTCACTGGGGTTAAAAAACTGTTTGCGAAGAAAGATGGACCGGCAGTAGTACGGACGTGATGATATTGCAGTTGGAGAGCAGCACAGCGATTTGAAAAGATTCAGTTGAAAAACAGTAGAAAAATTATTTTAGCATATTTCATGATTTTTCAAGGCTGATTGGTTCCAAATCTTGCGCCAATTCTCAGTGTGGCAGGGGACCTCCCCAGGTTTCTTGTTAATCGGACAGACCTATGTGGTGCCATGACTTCTTTTGTAGCTCTAGTAGCCCATTGGCATGCACATAGCCTCAATGGGGCACGGGAAAGTACTGGCCCAAGGTTCATGTTAATCAGTGAGACCTCTGTGAAGATATGACTTCCTGTGTTGTTGCAACCTAGAGGAAGTTGTTTCTTTATAACTTGCACGTCATTTTGAATATGAAAATTCTTTGTATAACTTTTGATCTCGAGGGTCCATTGATTCTTCATGCAAAGTTTTAAACAGGTGGTATTATGCTTTTTGGCTTTTCCCCTCTCCTTTATTGAGTTATATACCTTTTTTGAGCATGTAATAGGTTTGCAAAGTGAAAAAGCCCAAAGTCCACCCCCCAAAGGGAGTTCCCATCTCCCACAGAAAACACTGCTCTGAACTGCCTGAAAACAGCTGGTTTGTAGTTTGTAGTTCCCTTTCATCCCTGTGATGTCACAGGGATGAAAGCTAAATTCACGTCATATAACGCTCACCAAGGGGCTACTCCGACATGCCCTCAAAAACAACGGTGGAAAAACACTGAGCTGCAGCACACACCTCCTCTCCCTTCCACACTAGCTACCCTCCAGACACTCAATAGACAAAGTTGTTACTGTGATGTGGAGACAGAGCTCAGTTAAAACTTTATGGATGAAAAATACTTTTGTTAAAGATTAATAACTCACCACTCTGAAACTCTTGCTCCAGTCCATGTTGCCAAGCTGGTCGGCAACATGTAGCCTACAGCTGAATCAAAGCTGTTTACGGGCTTCTCGCTGACCTGCCCTTCTCTGCTTCTGATTGGCTAGTAGTCCTCAACTAGGATCTGCGCATGTGCAACTCCCAACAAAGATCATTTAGAGACAAGATGTATCACTCCATAGCTAAAACGAAGCCTTCAACACAGGGTGAAAAGAGGAGCTGTAGCAATGTGCAGTATGAAAGAAAATATGGTGTTTTTTGAAAATTAAACCATGTAAACCTGTTCTTGTACAATCCCTAAATATGATTTTAAACCTGGAAATGAGCATAATACCACCTCTTTAAACAGATCGGACTCAGATTTTGCAGGGGTAACAAATTATCTGCGGAAATGGATTATGGTCTTTATCACGAGATGCAGCACAATTCAGGGAATGTGCGAATATCAGATTTTTTAAAGTGCAACGCAGTATGCGGGAGTTACTGGCCAAATCACACTTACCTTTGTTATAGCGCCACCTGGAGATGTAATGTTTTGCATCTGAGGTGTGTGCACCAGTCTATACCTCCCCTGTGAATTTCACTTTGATAACTTTCATGGTGTCTGCTACAGTATCACTTTTATCACTACTACTTTTTGAATCTGACTGATTTCAATAGAGTTCCTTGCCTTGCTGTTTTGCATGCCTGGCCCCTAAAAACTAGGGTGATTATGTTAAATATGAACCTTGCCTGAAAACTTCAATAGAAGCGTCAAATGCAAAAAAATGACATTTGGTACAGCCCTAGGAAGAACCATAAAAGAATTCCACTTTGCTGCTGGAATAATAATTGCTGTCATTGGCACTGCTGTCATTATGGAAAAAGCCACAGGTAACACTTTTCTGGGCCCATTATGATGAGTGAATAATTCAGGAGTCGTTCTACTTCATTAGTGAATGAGGGGGCAATGCTTTTTTTACTTAAATAATTCTCGAAATAATTTGACAAGACAAAATACTGACAGAATTAGTATGTAGACTATCGTCATGGCAGAAACTCAAGCACCAGGGGTCACAAAAGTGATGTGATTTACTCATTGCACAAATCA